ATAAACTACAACCTATTTACAGTCTAATTTAAGTTATGCGGTATACTTCGCATAAGCTATTAAATGTTACACAAAGTGTATTTTAAAGTATAAGCAAAGTTTATAATAGTATGCAGGTTACACAAAGAAAGTTTAAGTGTGAAACTTTCTTTGCGTAACAATAACTATATATTATTTGGCAGCCCGATCATAGTAATTTGACGGATAATAAAAAAAATTATTATTTGATTTATTAATTAATTAATTATTAATTATTATTAGGTACATTCGTCCCTCCATATAGACACCTCCCATATAATAACACCATATGTAATCACATTTATGTTTAGGCCAATCTATGATTACTTTATAAGAAAAAGACCTCGATATAAGCACAACTCCTATATAAGTACATTTTGCTATGTGCCCAACTGTGTGATTGTATGGGAGGACGACTGTATAAGGTTATATATGAGTGTTGCTAAAAGAAAACCCGAAAATTTAAATATGACTTAATATTTAAATTTTCAGGTTTTCTTTTAACGACACTCATATAATAAATTCTAGACTAAAATACTAGTTTAATCAAATAATTCAGAATCCACTTAAATTCTGTTTTCACTTATAACATATATATTAGATTTATCTACAGCATTAATCAAGTTATGATAGTATAGATTGAATTCTGTGTCTACCATATCTAACAAGCATTGTAGAATAAGATAGTCGAAGTAATTGGTGCAGAATAGATAAAACCATTTGGATATTTAGTCCCACCTAATAATTACAATATATAATAAAATATTATAAATAAAAGAACGACGATGCTCAATATTATTAATTATTTTAACTTACATTCGGTATCTGGTGGTGCTACACCGCCTTTAGTCTCTGTAAGAATAATATAAGTAATATCTGAATATGCACCTTCTCCCGTGGTATTCTGTTATTTTTTGATATAAATGTTAATTAGAAACAATTGTATAAGAAAATTGATACTTAAAGATGATTATAGCTCCCGAGAAATGTCAATTGACTATCACAGGGTCACTCGGGGTTTTTTTTTGTATAATCCTCTAATAAGTGTAATAATAAGTGTAATAAAATTATAATAATTACTGTAACTGCCATAATTTCATAACGATAATCTTTCAATGGATCAGATGAAGGTGTAAACCCAATAATTTCTAAGGCCAGTGCTGAAGTATCATATTTTGGAATAGCAGATCTAACATAAATTTTTTGATCTAAATTGTTATGAAAATGAAAGAATTATGATTCAAATTCTAATGTTGATATTCTCTATTTAACGATCTCTGTTTTTTTTTTCAAACAAAATTTTTATTTATGTATGATCAATAGTGTTGTTAGTCGATCGACTAATAGTCGACTGACTAATTCATCGGGAAAGTCGTTAGCTTAGCCGACTTAATCATTAAGGATAAATCCAGGGTATTATTACTCGACTGGTTAAAGCATGAATTATTACTGTTTTGCAAATAATGAACTCATGCGTATTTGAAATAGCCAGGGCGGCCCCCAAAGTGCCAGTGACGTAAATCATTTTCACCAATCAGATAATACTATATATTTAACAATAAGCGATGATTTAGTATATATAGTATTACTCGATTGTTGAAGTGATACGTCACTGGCACTTTGGGAGGGCCGTCCTGGCTATTTCTGCGTATTTCTTCAAAATATTGAAAAACCATATTTTATTTAATTATTACATACCTCTGACTTCTACTAAACCCACACCTGAAAAGGGGTAGAGGTTGATATCTTCTTTGCGGTTAAAATGTACGTTGCGAGGTTCCTCTAATAATCACAACATTGTAAGCACTTACATATCAAAATAAGTATATCAAAATAAGTACATATGTACTTACCAAAATCCCACTTAGTATTATTACATATGTACAAGAAAAATCCATCAGCATATATCTTAAATTTATAAACATTTCCGGCCGGAACAGTGAAATTGCTTGGAACTCGGACATCATTTGGAGGATCTGTGGCAAAGGAATTTTTAGTTATTGTATAGTAATGGATGTAATTGCCAAATCATCAATAGAATTTACCAAAATTTCCAATTGATGTGGGAAGCTTTCTCGGCACAACACCGGTAAATGAACAACTGATGCAGAGCAAAATAACAATTAAGACCGAAAACGATTCTAGTTTAATCATTCTTGTAATCATTTTAATCAAATTTAATTTTCCAATCTATCTATTTAATTGTATGAATTGACGAAAAAAAATAAATAAATGAAAATACTAATAAAAAAATTGCAGAAGTTAGTTTAATGAAAGATGATTGTAGCATTCGCTTACTCTATACGAGGATAAGCCCTTAAAACCTTGAGAATCTTACTGCTTATTTATGCTTTCCTGTAAATTACTCCAAGCTGCAAGATTTAAATTAGGTCAGACATTGATATAGATTCTACAGTTCGAAAAAAAATAATCACTGATTACGAGTTATCAATATTAATTAATTTTATATTACTTGTAATATATGCAAATTTGATGGGTTACTTGTACGTATGAATTTGGTCGACAAAACTCATAATTGTGTACTGTCTGCACAGGTAAACTAAAAATAGATAACTCCCCTTAAATTCGATTTTTCGTTTAACGTTATTCTCTCTCAATTTACTGAGCTCCCCTCAAATCAAACAAATAGAAGTAACAACAAATTGAATGGTCAACGTGGTGATTGGCGAGTGAAATAGCGATAGCGCAAAAATTTGGCGGCACTGTGATTTCCGAGCCAAATCGGAACAGAAGATTTTATCTCGAACTATTGAGATCATGAAAATCAATCTTACCGAAACTAAAGTGCGGAAAGTATCCAAATAATTATATTTCACCGTGATTGTTTAAACATTTGTTGAACCCCTCATCTCGATTTGGATCAGGGTGTCCAGCTATTAATAAAGCTTTTTGTAAAATTTTTTTTAACGCTAATTCCATTTTTATAACAATGTCCAAGATTACAAATTGAATTAATATTTCTCATTGCTGCAACCTTTTGATAATAGTCGAATTAGCTAGCAAAAATAGTTAGCAAAAATAGCAAAAATAGCAAAAATAACAATTAGTAATCACGACAATATAGCGAGCAGTGGCCATTTACTGTGCCACTGCCTTTTGTTTAAAGTATCTTTCTTGAAACATATTAGTATTCAACAATTAATAGAAAATTTTAATATGATGTATCTAATATACCCTGATTGGTAATGTCTTATGAGTAGCTTGTTAGGGTGTCACCATTTAGTTTAATCACAAACATAGGGCTAGTTATATAGTGATTGATCATTAGTGATAATTTTTTTTGAGTGATTTGTCCGAAATTTTTAGTTCATATGAAATTACTATTTAAAAACTTCTTTTTAAAAAATTTAATAACTCTTGCTGTACTTAATTTTTTTAGATTTAATAAACTAGTTTTAATTCTTTAAATATGTCTTCATCAAGTAATAACCGCATATTTTAAGTATTTAAAAAATATCTATTGTCTAATTAATATGTATTATTGCAATATATAAATTATATAATAAAATAAATATACATCATTTAATAACAGACATTTTTTAAATACTTAAAATATGCGGTTATTACTTGATGAAGACATATTTAAAGAATTAAAACTAGTTTATTAAATCTAAAAAAATTAAGTACAGCAAGAGTTATTAAATTTTTTAAAAAGACGTAAGGGAGTGTTTTCATATGTTGCGGATGATAATCAGATCAGTGTAATGTGGATGGGATGATGGCAGGGCAGCGTATTTAAGGATGATGACTTAGTAAGGGGTTTATCTTTCTTTTCGCTATCGCTCGCCTTGCAGGAAGGCTGGCTCTATTGTCCCTCCCAACCCGCCCGCTTATCAGTGGCTCTCGATAATTTGAGAGGTGGCGTTTGGCTTGTAAGAAGGTAAATCGGTGAGTAATGTCGAGCCCTGTGGCCGTAATAGCAATGTTTAGTTTTGTTTTTTGATTATGTAACTGTCAAGCTCCGCGTCTGTGGCAGCAGTGCAGGAGGCTTTGTGTTGTGCGATGAATAGGCTTCGAGGCTGCACTAGCAATGCAAGGACCTGGGTTTAAGCTCCACAAGGACTGTAGTAGTTGCAAGCTTTGTGTGAGTAATTAGGCTCCGAGACTGCAGTAGCAGTGCGAGGACCTTGGGGGATTTAGGCTCCGCGGCTGCGTGACAGTGCAAGGACCGGTTTTTCAGGCCCCTTTGACTATAAGTTGCAGTACATGAGTTTTTTGTCTAATGGGTTGCGGGTTCTACGCCAAATGTCAGTAAAATGATCATCTTTCTGAAGTATTTAGCTTTCGCGTGCATTATTAAGTGATTCTCGTCTTAGCTATATGAAGAGTTTCGGCGTTTACAACGTCCTCTCTATGTTTAGGTTTATGGGGAGTTGTATATGGTATTTTAGGGGTATAGCTGTTTGTCTAGTAGTAATGTTTAGGAAATTTTGTAGGGTAACGGATAGAGCGTAATTTGGTGGCGAACGGAATTCCCATATGTTTTCCATTT